ACTAAAGCCCGGAGTCAGTCAGGTTTCTGTACATCCTCACCGACTCTTGTGGTATTGTCTGCCTTTTTCATTATAGCCGTCCTAAGGGTTGAAATGCTATCTCTTTGTGGTTTTAATTTACATTTCCCTGATGGCTAATGATGTTGAGAATCTTTTCATGTACTCAATAGCTATTCATGTATCTTCTTCAGCAAAATGTTTATTCAAGGTTTTTTTCCATTTAAAGAGTTAGGTTTATTGAGTTGTCATATTTTATATTCTACGTGAAAGTCCTTTCTCCAGTATGGAGAAATACTAGCCGTAGGGAGCTGCCTCAAACTCTACTGCATGATATTTATAAAAAGCTTGTTTTCAATAACTACTTATCTATAATTGCCTAAAGGATATTCGCTGCGGGCCATCATCTTAAGTACTTAAATTCATTTTTTATGTCCTATCAGATAATCAAGATTTTAAACTTCTTTTGATCTCTTACCAAATTGTTCTTATTAATTAAATTATCAGTATTTAATAATACTATTAAAACCAGTGTTTAACTTTATGCTGTTTATGTACATTGACAGGTATTAAAAATCAGCCCTTTAACATATTCTGTCTACTTTAAAATTAAGACCTTGTTTTTCACAATGTTTCTTCTTAATGAGTTTCCACTAAAGAAACTACTGTCAGGTTACAGGACAGGATAAAGCTTTGCCTGTCAGTGATTCTTCTTTTATTTACTTACTTTTGAATTAGTTTTTAACATGGCGAAATATAGATAACCTAAAATGGACCAGTTTAAGTCTTTTTGGGAGTATGACTCAGTGGCATTAAGTACATTCGTGTTGTGTAATCATCACCCCTGTCCGTCTCCAGAAGTTGTCTGTCATCCCAAACTGAAGCTCATGAAACAGTAACCCCTCATTCTGTCCTGCCCCAAGCCCCTGGGGGCCACTATTCTGCTTTGTGTCTCTCTGAATTTTGAATATTTTAGGAACCTCCTATAAATGGGATCATTGAACATTTGTCCTTCTGTGTCTGGCTTCTTTCACTTAGCAAACTGTTTTTAAGGTTCATGTTGTAGCAGGTGTCAGAATTTTCATTCCTTTTCAAGACTGAACAACATTCCGTCATATGTATATACCACATTTTGTTCATTCATCCATCAACGGACATCTGGGTCATTTCTACCATTTTGACTATGGTTAGTGGTGTAAAATAGCAAAGTCCTTGTTTTCAGTTCTTCAAAGATGTCAGTGTCCTCTAGAACAGAGACTCTTCCCGAAGGTTTTTGGTTCACTTTCCTGAGATCCAACAGAGGAATCACTGTCTATGGGTGTCCTAGCCTTAGGAAATGTATTTCTTGTAAGACCTGGAAGTTGAAATCAGTCCTTGATGCAGGGACTGTAGAGAGGATAATGTGTCGGCAGTGACAAAAACCACAACCTTGTACATCTTCCATCACGGGTGACCAGATCCATTACTATGAGCAGTAATATTTTGAAAAAAGAAAGTTTTTAAAGATTTAATTTTTTTTATTTACAGACAGAGCTCACAAGTAGGCAGAGAGGCAGGCGAGGTGGTGGTGGGGGAAGCAGGCTCCTTGCTGAACAGAGAGCCTGATGCAGGCCTGGATCCCAGGACCCTGGAATCATGACCTGAGCTGAAGGCAGAGGCTTAACCACTGAGCCACCCAGGCACCCCAAGCAGTAATACTTTGAAAGGGATTTTTTTTCGGAGCAGTAGGTGTCAATAGTGGGCTTACAAAATTCGGTACAAACCATGTTGTAAACAGATGTGTTGCCATCTGGGTCTTATTCCCTGTATAAAGCATTAGGCAGAGAAGATTTAGCATAATTCTTAAGGGCCCTAGGGTTTTCAGAATGACAAATAAGCATTGATTGCAACTTAAAATCACCAACTGCTTTAGTTCCAAACAAGAGAGTTAGGCACTGACTTCTCTCTGGTTAGGAAAGTCCTAGATGGCATTTTCTTATAAGGCTGTTTGGTGTAGCCACCTTCATTAATGAGCTAGATCTTCTGGATAACTTGCTGCAGGTTCTACTTCAGCACTTGCTGCTTTGTTCTTTATGTTACAAAGGTGACTTCTTTCCTTAAATCTCATGAACCAACCCCTGCTCACTTTGAATTTTTCTTCTGCAGCTTCCTTACCTCTCTCAGCCTTCATAGAATTCAGGAAAGTTAGGGCCTTGCTCTGGATTAGGCTTTGGCTTGAGAGAATGTTGGGATTGGTTTGATCTTTTCTCCAGACCACTCAGACTTTCTTCCTATCACCGAGAAGGGTGTTTTGCTTTTTGATCATTCATGTGTTCATTGGAGTAGCTCTTTTAATCTCCTTCAGAAACCTTTCCTTTGTGTTCACAGCTAGGCTAACTGTTGGAAGAGGCCTAGCTTTTGGCCGGTCAGCTTTCGATATGCCTTCCTTATGAAGCTTAACTATTTCTGTGTTTTTTTTTTTTTTTAATTTAAAGTGAGAAATGTGTGACTCTTCCTTTCGTTTGAACCCTTAGAGGCCATTGTAGGGTTATTAATTGGCCTCATTTTGGTATTGTTGTGTCTTAGGGAAGTCAGGTGGTCCAAGGAGAGGGAGAAAGACCCAGGGATGGTGGGTCCATGGAGGAGTCAGAACATGCAGTCAAGTTCACTCTTATCAGTCAAGTTCACTGTCTTATGTGGGTGTGGTTCATGATGCCTCAAAACAACACAGTAGTCCTGTCTAGGATCACTCATCACAAAACAACGTAGCAGAGATGGTAGTAATAATTGAAAAGTTTGAAATACTGTGAGAATTCCCAAAACGTGACACATAAAGTGAGCAAATGCTGTTGGGAAAATGGTGCCAGTAGAATTGCTCAATTCTAGTTCAATTCAAGGTTGCCGCAAACCTTCAATTTGTGTAAAAAAACAAAAACAACCAAACCACACACGATATCTGTGAAGCACAATAAAATAATGCCTCTGTTCATTTCTGGAAATGCTACAAACATTCATTAATGCTTAGTATATGCAATGCACTTTAAGAGATGAGATGAATAGCACATGTTCTCCGCCCTGTAGAAATCCAGTCCGGTGGGTAAGACCGATGAGTTTTGGAGGGGTGGGTACGGTGCAGGTCAGAGTAGGATTGCAACTAACAGCTATAGCGAGCTGTGTGCAGCACTAAAAATGAAGTGTAAGCCTAGCAGGTGGGAGCCCACGGGAGAGCGACTCTGACACTTGGGGGTAGGAGGCCATTGCACCCCGTGTTGTCAAAGTTGAGGCCCGGCGTCATAAAGACCTTTCTTCCCAACCCTTTTGAGAAGTTTGTGTTTTATTACCAAGTCGGTGAGGAACCACTGCAGGTTCTTCCTGCGTGTGTGTATTACCTGATAGTCTTCTATTTTTGTTGTTTCTTGTTTTGTGTTTTCCTCAGAATTGTTTCTCTGAGGTGGCACTGCTTGATGAAAACGGAGATGCATTTTAAGATTCTGAAAATGTACTGTCAAGGTGTTGTCTGTAAAATACAGCATATTTCATAGGATCTCTCCTTTATACGGAACTATGGACATCTATAAAGGTCTGACCTAAGGAAGTTTTTCTCCAAACCAGGGTGCTTGTGAGGTGTCTCTCCTGAGTCAATCTGGTGCTTAGGAAGTTGGAAATTACTGTTTTCTACCCTCAGAGCATCAGTGAGATCTCTGCTGGACTCTTACAGATTCTAAGGTCAAGATTCTTCCAGTTGGAGTCCTCACCGGTCTCTCCTTACAGAGTGGTTCTGATAATCTACAAGCTTTGCCAAATCTATCAGTAGCTCTTCTGGGGTTTTTGCCATTGGTATTCAAGATGTTTATAGCCTTTTTGTAAAATGGAACCAAGGAGAGCATTCCCCTCTAAAGTAGTAATTCATGGATGCCTAGTCTCCCCGCCCCCCCGCTGCTTTGAAGAATCGTCTTCATTTTCTCACTTCATCTGCCAGCCTCATCAGAACCTTCCTTTTGCTCTTACATCTTTTTTTTTTCATTTTTAAATTTTTATTTATTTATTTTTCATTTATTTAAAAAAAATTTTTTTTTCTGCTCTTGCATCTTTAAGACCGTTGGTTTAAAGGTTCTGTTTAGGAAGCCTGGCCTCTGGGCTTCCCAAGCTACATTTTCTGTTGATTTGTTTTATTCCTTCAAATGGGCCTTACTTTTCTCTTTCTTCGTACGCCTTGTGAATTTTTTGTTGTTGAAAACTCGACATTTGAATCTTCTAGTTCAGTAGCTCTGGAAATTAGGCTTTCCCTCTTCAGAGTTTTAGGTGATTGTTTTAGGGTGTCTCTGTGCTGGGGATCAGTCTGCGGTGAATGCTTAAATTTTCTGGCTGTATTTCCCTGGGCAGAGGCTGTGTTTTTCTGAATTTTCCCATATGTGATTTTCTTTTTCAATGTCTAGAAAAACCAGGTGCTGTCCACAAGGACATTCAGAAGCTCTATTACTCAGTGGAGGTTGGAAGAGTGGCTGGCTTCTGTGAAGGCTCTTCCTTCGTGATCAGAAGCAGCCACTCACAGGCAGAACCCAGAACTCTAGTATTTAGAGGCAAAGGTTTTTATTGCCTACTCTGGTTCCAGCAAGACAAACTGTGGGTGTGGATTTCATCTCTCGGGCTGGCCAGTAGAGTCTGGGTGACGCCTACTTCCACCTCTAATCATTGCAGTTTACCAGTCAGGGTTTCCCCTGAGAGCTGTAAGTTTTCAAGTAGACATCTTGTACTCCAGAGTTATCACTAGATACTTTCTTCTGGTACAGTTGTCTAGGTGGCAAGTTGGATTTCTGGTGCTTCCTACTCTACCATCTTCCCTGACATCACTTCCTCTACATCTTTGATCTTTATCTTGCTTTCTGGAAAATTTTTTCAGCTTTATCCTCCAACTCTGCTACTAAATGTTTTGAATGTTTTGTTGCTGTTGTCATATTTATAATTCTAAGTGCATTTTCTGATTTTGTTTTGTTTTGGGTTTTTTTTGTTGTTGTTTGTTTTTTTTGGATAATCTGTTTTTTCACGGGTGAACTTTTTTTTTCCTCGGAAGATGCTAATACAGTGTCTTTCCATGTTATTCTGCTCCCTGCATTATCTGTCTTTCCTCTGGGTTGTTTTTAACCTGTTTTCTCTCTTTCACAATGGAGGCTTTCCTCAAATTTCTAGCAATCTTTGTTCACATTTAACAAGAGGGTTCTAAAAGCTGACTGGAAGGTGTTTTAATTACTACAGCACTGTCCAAGAGGAGCATAATGTGAGCCACATATGTAATATCAGATTTTCTGGTAGCTACTTTTAAAAAGCAAAGCAGATGAAGTTAACAATATATTTTATTTTACCCAATAGAGGCATAATATTATTTCAACATATTTTAACCAGTATAAAACTTATTGATGAGATATTTTATATTTCTTTCTGCATTGTCTTCAAAACCCAGTGCATATTTTATTAACATAGCAGCACATTTTAATTCATACACTAAATTTTCATCTGAATTACTTGATCCATTTTTAGATTTGTAAAACTTAGCATTGAAAAGTGGATTCACATAGTTCTTGTAAACATATCTTGTTCTAAATATACTTAAAATTTTCGATAACTGCATCAAGTATCAGAAGAATAACTTTGATATTTGCATCCACATTGACAAAACTGTTCATCTTTTTATTGGAAGAATTGATTTGATTTTGAACCAAAAGCATATCATTTTGAAAACTGTTATTTGTTCAGGTAAATTCAACTCAGTATTATCATCATCAAATTTGGCATAAGGCATTACATAAAATGGAAACAAAGCTGAACTTATTCATATCAACAAACCAGTCTTTACATTTGTCTTTTTTTTTTGCAGTTAACTTGCATAAAGCACTATTGATTACATTTAAAATTTGCATATTGACCCAATGTTAGAAAAATGTGTACAGTTGTCATTTTTTTATTTGTATTACGAAATGTTTCCGTTTTAACTAAATTATTTTAACTAAATTTTTCACCTAAGTAGGTAAAATTTTTCCTGTCGTAAGGAGCTTCAAATTCAGCTTATTCGTGCTCAGTGTTATGTTAAGGAGAATTATCATACTGACACTTTTTGTCCTTGATTATATGCCAGGCATTCCTTTCATTTTAAGAAACCCTTGAATTGGAATGCCTCGTACAGGAAGTCTTTGTAAAAATTCTCTTATGACTCAACCAAGGAACATTAATAAAAACACAGATCATTAAAAACATTACTGATTCCATAACCTGGCAATGGTTAATTTATAGCATTTGCACATATATATTGAAGAATTTTAACATCTGTATTCATGACTCATTAGAGTTTGCTTTGGAAAACAACATAAATATTTTCAATAGTTATCAGACAGTGGAACAAAGCAATGAGGAAAACAACATTCTCTTGCTTTAAAATTCCAGTATTTGATCTTTTGATTTAACATAGCTGGAGTCTCATTCTTATGATAGAAACTAATTTTTCTATGTCTAGCTGAAATTCTTTGACAGGTGAAAAAAATATCAAAAATTAAACCTGTCATGAGTTTGAGTTTCTAGGCAATGAATTGACATTTCTTCATAAATTTGGTTGTTCTTTGAGACAAAATGTACCAAAATTTTCAACAATCGCTGTCTTACATCACATGACTCATCTAAAGCTGAAAGTACATACTTGCAACTTTTAAAATTGTGAAACAATTAATCTTTGATAGTATTAGCAACTTCTTGTATCCTATGATCAACGTTGTTTAGGTTAATTGAAAATCTCAACTCTTGTAAATGTCTTTTTAAGTCTTATAATTTTCTAACTAAATTATCATAACTGAAATAATCATTCCTTTTTACCATCTTTCCAGCGAAGATTTTGTGTTTGTGTGTGTGTGTGTGTGTGTTCAAGAATTCAAGTATTGTATAACTGGCCAACTTTACAAGCTCAAAAATCCTGTTAAAAAGTGTTTAAATTTTTTTGATGGGAATTGCTCATTTCATGTGACTAATTTCATGGATTTTTTTTTTTTTCTGTTAGAATACTTATTGAACTCACTAGATTGTTGCTGGAAATGACAAATGCTAGCTGTTGTCTTAAATATTGTCTACTCTATCTAACACTTTTATATACAACGAGCAGCTTTTTCATTTCACTGCATCTGCAGTAAATTGCAATCGCCATTCAGCGTTAAATGTGCACTAGACCCTCTTCCCCTATTCTCTTTACTAGTTGTAGTACTCGCTTCTGTAGTGTACTGAATTCTGCCTCAGTATTATGCCTTCGTTTAAAATTTAAATGTTTTCCCGTATTTTTTTAATCTAGAAAATAACTAAAATTAAAATAGTGCATATCTCAGTTGATGATTCTGATTTGCATAAGTATCACTGTAACTTGTGCTGTCTGCCTTGGTATACTTGAACTTGTGCTAGCCACATAAAATATCCAAGTAAATGCATCGTGATGTTATTCCAGTGCATAGAAGAAAATCATCTGAATCAAATCAATCTGTTGATACTGCCTAGATTGGTGAAGTGTTTATCTGTAATCCTAGAACTAATGCACGTTCCTGTCTAAGCATTACAGTACAACATCCTACGCGATGCAACAGTTAAAGTGAATTGTAGTTCTATGAAAACAATAAAGTTGTGTTTAATGGGAAGACATTGACTCTGCTTCGGTTTTTTCAGTCTCAGAATGTGGCAGTGTTCATTACCGTGGTTCTCAGTAGATTTATGTGGCTACCGTATTGGACAATACAGGGTCGGAGTAAGCAGCGCTAGCCAGGGAGCCCAAGAGATCCAAGTGGCTTAACTGAATAACAGTTCATTTCCCAGACAGGCTTCCTGCATTTTGTTGCGTTCCAACATTTTGTAGCTATGCCATTGGGAGGCCCCAGAGGCAAAGAAGTCAAGAACGGGAGCATTATACATTTATACATATATATTTAAACACTAACCTGGAAGCAGCTTAGAACCATGGGTCCTGGGGCTCCTGTGGTTGGTTAGGCATCTGCCTTCAGCTCAGGTTATGATCTCAGGGTCCTGGGATGGAGCCCCATATCAGACTCGCTACTCAGTGGGGAGTCTGCTTCTCCCTCTCCCCCGGCTGCTTTCTTGCTTGCATGCTCTCCCTCAAATAAATGAATAAAATTTTTAAAGAGATCAATCAAAAGGAACCATGGGTCCCCACTGGGTGCCAAGATGTCCCAGGTCACTGTAGAGAACTCATAGGGGTTTCCCAGGATATTTTACATATTAGGAAAACACAGCATAGCACCAACTACTATTGTCTGGACCTTTTTAGCAAATGGGGCAGTTAGGTATTTCTTACCTAATTGCGCCTAAGGGCACTGTGAAAAGCTGATTGTGGTGCTAAGGATGCTCTAACCCGGAAACTGGGAACATGTGGCTTAGAAATCATTTCTGTTCTTTTCCATTGGCCAGAAATCAGTCACATGACACCTCACCACAGAGGAGGCTGGGAAATTGTCTTCCCCTCATTGTGAGCACATGGATTGCGTCAGCCACAACCTGTCCTGATCACTATGTCCTTTCGTGATTCCCCCCACACAGTACCTATCCTCTTTTCCTAAGGGAGGCAATCCAAAGTCTGTTGATGAATGTTTCCACCTGCAAGTCCAGGGTCTCTTAGAAGCTTGAGTACATGGGAGTGGTAGGTCAATTTGTGGGCTTCACAGAAGGACGATTGTCACTTAGTTTTTGCCTTGGGGACCCCCAAATGTCAGTGTCTGTCAGTCATCCTTGAAGCAGTGTAATTTCTCAGGAAGGATCTATAGGATTCTAGAGAGGGAGCTAAACTGCCAGGGTTCATACAGCTGGCTATTGTGGGCTAGGTGGAAGAAAGCAGCCTTGTGGGATGGGAGTTGAAGTCCACTCACACCCCCGCCTTAGACTTCCACTTAATCTGTTTTCAACCTGACATCTCATTTCCACCTTCTTCCAGGGCGGAGGGACCCTAGTTAAAAGCCTTTCAGGTTCCACTTGGTAACAGTTCATACTTCAGTTTTCTCTGGGGGGTTATGGATAGATAAATGCCAAGCAAGGTAGGAGTGGTACTGTAGGCTTGAACTACTCCTCTTCCCTTCTCTTCTCTCTTTCTCCCTCCCTCCTTTCCTTCCTTTCTAAGATTTTATTTATTTGAGAGAGAGAGAGAGAGAGAGAGAACACAAGCAAGGGGAGGGGAAGGGGCAGAGGGAGAAGCAGGCTCCCCACTGAGCAGGAAGCTGGATGTGGGGCTTGATCCCAGGACCCTGAGATCATGACCTGAGCTGAAGGCAGAGGCTTAACCCACTGAGCCACCCAGGTGCCCCTTGAACCGCTCTTTTTGTACTTTTCAAGTACTATCTTTGTAGCCTCCTTGGTTGCCTCCTCACTTCCAGATTACCTGACATCTACACTTCCCAAATCTTTATAGGTTTTATCAGTACCCTTTGGAAGAAGGCAGTTGTGCCTTTTTTTTTTTTTTTTTTTTTTTTGCCTGTCCTGTCAATGCAAGTTCCTAAACAGTATGTGTCTTCATACAATATTGCTTGGGGTTTCATGTGTTTCTTAATTTTTTAAGCATAAAGAGTGATGATTTGGTATATATATTGTGAAATGATCCCCCTCTCCAGTTGAGTTAATTCATACATCCATCACTTTACATATTTACCTTTTTTTGAGGGGAACATTTTAAATTCTACTCCTAGCAAATTTCAATTATATAATGCAGTGTTATCAACTACGCTCATCATGTTACACACTAACAAGTCCTTAGGACTTAGTTATCTAATAACTGAATTTGTACCCCTTTACCAACCTCTTCCTATTTCTTACCACCTCCAACCCCTGGCAACTACTTTTCTACTGTTCCCATGAGTTCGACTTTTTCCTTTCCTTTTTAGATTCCACATATAAGTGATGCCACCTAGTATTTGTCTTTTCCTGGCTTGTTTCACTAAGCATAATGCCCTGTTTTATCCATGTTGCAAATGGCAATTTCCTTTTCTAAAGCTGAAGGATATTTGTGTGTGTGAGAGTGTTTTCTTTATCCATTCATCTCTTAATGGACACTACGTTGTTTTCATACCTTGGCTATCGTGAATAATACTGCAAAAATTCATTTCTTTGAAGTGTACAATTTAGTGGTTTTAGTATTGTCACAAAGATGTGCAACTATTACCACTATAGGGGTGCCTGTGTGGCTCAGTCAGTTAATTGTTAGCCTTTGGCTCAGGTCATGATACCAGGATCCTGGAATCAAGCCCCATATGGGGCTCCCTGCTCAGCCGGGAGCCTGCTTCTCCCTCTCTCTCAGCCCCTCCCTCTGCTCATGCTTGCTATCTCAAATAAATAAAATCGTTTTTTAAAAAAAAAAGAAAAAAAAACTATCACCACTATATAATTCAAGAATATTTTTATCTCTCCCCAAATCAATTCCATACCTATTAGCCATCACTTCCTACTTCCCCCTTCCCAATCTGTACAACCACTAATCTACTTTGTCTCTAAATTTGCCTGTTTTTCTGGACATTCCATATAAATAGAATCATACAGGGGCACCTGGGTGGCTCAGTAGTTACATGTCTGTCTTGGGCTCAGGTCATGATCTGGGAGTTACTGGGATGGAATCCTGTATCAGGCTCCTTGCTCAGCAGGGAGTCTGCTTCTCCTTCTCCCTTTCTCTCTCATTCACTCTCTCTCCCAAATAAGTAAATAAAATCTTTTTTTAAAAAATCATACAATGAATGGCCTTTTGTGTCTGTTTTCTTTCAGTTAGCCTGATGTTTCTAAAAATCTATGTTGTAGCGTGTATCAGTACTTCATTCCTTTTTATGGCTGAATAGTGTTCCATTGTACGGATATACCACATTACAGCCATTCATCATTTGATGGACATTGGGTTGTTTCTTCTTTGGGCTATTATGAATAATGCTGCTATGAACATTTGGGTATAAGTTTTTGTGTGGACGTATGATTTCAATTCTTTGGTGTATACCAGTGAGTGAAACTGTGAGTGTGGTGTACATGGCAACTCTGCCTAGCATTTTGAAGAATTCCTGAACTGTTTCCCAGAGGGGTCCCACCACTTTACATCCCCATCAGCAATGTGTGAGTAAATTGGCAGAATCGATTTTTCACCTCTTTGCCATCGCTTGTTATTGCCTGTCTTTCTTATGACAACGGGTTACAAAAATCCTACTGGTTCCTCTTAATTTTTCTTAAATGGAGTTTGTTTTTCTGTTTCTTATGACCTAGGTTGTTTTGGATGATTTTCCAGACAAGAAGGCAGATTTCTTACTCCCTTAAAATTAGAAGCTCTGTAGATCTTGTTAAACTTTTTCAATTGGGCTGATAATACGCTGTCAGTATTGATGTCCTGCCTGGTTCTTTATCTGGAAATTCTTCATCTTTCATTTGTAGGCTGTTGACTGTCACTTTACTATGAAATTGCACTGAAAAAATTATATTCTTGGGACATACACAAGTTCACAGAACATAAACTCCAAATACTTGAATTGTGGACTATTGCATGCTGGCAAAAATCACAATGAGTTGTATCATATCAAGTCCAATTAGCCACTTGGCAATAGTTGTATTAAGCATCAGGCTAAAACACTATGGCAAGTATTTTAAATGAGTTAATCTTCTGAAACTAATGATATACATAATTAACTGAATTTAAGTAAAATAAAACTTTAAAAATGAGTTATTCTGAAATACTGTATTAAAAAGGGCACTCTTTTAATACTTTATTACAAAAATGCATAATTGTGCATAGACTGAGAGATGTATTTTAAAACTTTCCCAAGCTCTAGCAATAACTAAAAAATGCAATGGAAAAAAATCCTATTCACATTAGTAGCAAAACAATGAAACACACATCTTTGTGTTTTGAGTGGGTGAGTCTAGATATGGAACCAAGTACCTACAAATAGAAAACATAGTAAAAGATATATTTCAAGTCAATGAAGGAAAGATGGATTCCATAAATGATGTAGGGAAAACTGGCTTATAACTTGGAAAAAATTAAGACAGATACCTATTTTACTGTTGGGACCAAGATAAATTCCAGAAGATGTAGATGGAAGTGGGGGAAACAGGAAGCCCTGTGTTCCTCCTGTCTCCTCTGAAGTTGAAAATATTAATGCCTGCTTGGGAGGCTTTCCCAAAAAGTACATACTGTGTGGTTGTGGATCTCTCAGACTTCGGCCTTACCCTGGCTGATTATTGTCTGTCTCTCTCCCTCTGAGTAAGTCAGGAGTCTGTGGTAGTTTGGTATCTGGAAAGCTCCTATCTTGTGGCCCATGTTTTTTGCACTGGACATATTTTTTCTTCTTTTTAAAAATTAAGTGTGTTGAGGTATAATTTACATATAATAAGATGCACAGAGACTTGTGCTATTGGAGTTGAAGCCCAAGAACAGAAATCTCCATGGGCACCAGTAGCACCATGGTGGGAAAACTTGCACTGTAATTGCTGAAGGTTCAGTATGAATATCTTTGAGTTAAAGACACCAGAGGTGCCCATCTTGGGTGAGTGTACCCCCACACTTTCCTGAGTTTTCACTCATACATATGTTTTACTTTCCCCATATGGAATGGGGAGGGCAAGGACTTTTGTTTCTTTAATTGTATTTTTAATAGTGGATAAATAATTTGTAAGATTCAGAATTTAAAAAGCACAAAATGTTATATAGTGTGAAGTTTCTTTCTTATCCCTGCCCTTCAGGCACTCCTCAGTTCTCTTCCCTGGAGACGAATTGTATCAAAACTTATTGATACATACCTATGGAACAATAAATCCCTTCCTTGGTGTGATGTTATTAGACTCAGCTGCCTTGAGACCACCATACATTAGCAATGATTATTTCTTCTCATGTAATAAGCAATGAGGGTGGTAACTTTATGACTTCACTAATTTCTACAGGAAGGTAGCTAAATGTACTGTGTCCCTAATACAGGCTATGCATTATGCAGGTGTTTGTGTTTTGTTTTAAAGATTTTTTAATTTTTTATTTTAGAGAGACAGTGTGTATGCAGTGAGGGGAAAGGGATCAAAGGAGAGGGAGAGAATCTGAAGCAGACTTCCCACTGACCTTGGAGCCTGACGCAGAAATCGGTCCTACAACCCTGAGATCATGACCTGAGCTGAAATCAAGAGTCAGTTGTTTAACGGGCTGAGCCACCCAGGTACCCCTATGCTGGTGTTTTAAATAAATTTGTAATACATATATAAAGCTGATGATACTATCCTCACTTTACAGATCAGAAAAAAAAAAAAAAATCAGAACTCCAAAGTCACCGAAGCAGTAAACTTTTGGACTCCAAACCATTAGTTTGCACCATAAGCCAGAAGGAACAGTAATAGGGAGTGAGGTGATTGGCCATTATCCACTGTGAAATTTTCACTCTCTATTCCAATTACATACCAGTTAACTGTGTTTTATTAGGTAGATGAAACTCATCACAATGACTGTTTCTTAGATAATAAAGGTAAAACATATTTTTACTAAATGGTTAAAAAGAAATTAATCATCCAAATGCTAGATTCCATGTGTCATTTTTTTCATGCTTTCACTATTGTTTTTCCCAAATTATCTCCTTTCAGCATTCCCATAAATGCAGCTGGCATGTTTTCAAATCCTTCAGTGATGTATTCGTGGTATTGGATTTTACCCTGTATCAGAACGACAACAAATATAACAGATTAATTTCATATTCTAAATGATACTCTTCTCATCAAATTAATCAGGTACACTATGGGAAACCTGGAAATCTAAGATGGAGGCTCTGTCCACCCCCCCATGAACTTATAATCGATCTTGGGGCATGATCCACAAAGTACAAATAAAACTTTGATAATAGGTATTAGATCACAGCATAATAATAGGAGAAGTGTCACAGGAAGTGAACAAGCAATTTCTAAGTAAATTATATGGGAAGTTTAATAAGGTGATGATCTCAGAGGAGATGGAAGAAGATGGAAAAAGGGGCCCCCTTGCAGGATATTATCTGCTTTAATCCTTCCGGTTGCTTCATGATGTAGCATCATGGCCTCTTTGATCCCTGAAGAGGCTGAGCCTGTTTGGCAAATGTAAATACCATGGTAGTGTAATAGTCTGCCCTCACATCCAGCCCAGATTCTTTCAATATATGTTGAATATTCATTTAGGAGTGTGAGAGGGAAGGGTTCATTTACTGAGGATTTATTTTTCTTTCTACTACAAGGCAGTCTACTAAGTGGAATTAATTTACATTTTCAAGGTTTTTTTTTTAAAGGGGCCTTATGTGGAGACCGGAGTTACTTACTTACTTACTTTCCTAATATACTGACATCACTTACTTTCCTAATATATTCCAGTGATGGCTCAGCACCTGGTATGGATTTACAGAGGGACTGTTTGCCTGGTGGTCGTGCAACTAATATGTATGGAAGCTGGGATTTGAACCCTTGACTAGAAAGCCCCAGCTTTTTCCTGTTCTTAAAGAGACAAAGAACCTGGAAAGGGGTTAAAAGCTGTAACCCAAAGTTTAAAAGTTCAAAGTAGAGGATGAATACTAATATAAAAGTGTTAATAATATGGTAAATTAAGGTACAGCATACAGGGGGGTGCCTGGGTGGCTCAGTAGGTTAAAGCCTCTGCCTTCGGTTCAGGTCGTGATCCCAGAGTCCTGGGATCGAGCCCCGCTTCGGGCTCTCTGCTCAGCAGGGAGCCTGTTTCCTCCCCTCTTTCTGCCTGCCTCTCTGCCTACTTGTGATCTCTGTCTGTCAAAAAAAAAAAAAAAAAAAAGTACAGCATACAGGGCCTATGGAAACTCTTTGTACTGACTTTGTGATTTTTATTTTTTTAAGATTTTATTTATTTATTTGACAGAGACACAGCAGAGACAGAGAGAGAGAGAGAGAGCACAAGCAGGGGATGAGGCAGAGGGAGAAGCAGATTCCCCACTGAGCAGGGAGCCCAATTTGGGGCTCGATCCCAGGACCCTGAGATCATGACCTGAGCCAAGGGCAGCCACTTAATGACTGAGCCACCCAGGCACCCCCTAACTTTGTGATTTTTCTGTAAATTGAAAACGATTCTAAAAGAAAAGTGTATTTTTCAGAAGGCGAAGTGATGAGGAAAAAAAAATAAGAGAGAAATTAGGGGCGCCTGGGTGGCTCAGTGGGTTAAGCCTCTGCCTTCGGTTCAGGTCATGATCTCAGGGTCCTGGGATCGAGTCCCGCATCGGGCTCTCTGCTTAGCAGGGAGCCTGCTTCCCTCTCTCTCTCTGCCTGCCTCTCTGTCAACTTATGATCTTTCTCTGTCAAATAAATAAATAAAATCTTTAAAAAAAAGAGAGAGAGAAATTAGGCCAATTTACTAGTTACTGAAAACAAAACTGTCATTAGGTCCATTCTGTCAGAAGGAGGCATGCAGGACCCCAGCACAGTGGCTTCGTGTCATCAGCTGTGACCGTGGGAGGGATAGATCAGATTTCACCAACAGGGACAAAGAGGATCCACACTGGGAACTTAAAAATCATTCAGCTCTTCTCAGCTTCCTGGAAAGAGCCCAGCTCAGCACTCCAAGT